TTCAAGCTGGACGCACCCTCAAGGAGAGCTTCAGACTGGGTCAGCTGGAGGCTGTGGTGCGGATGCTGGAGGAACATGAGTGCGACTTTGTGGATGCTCTTGGAAGGGACCTTCATAAGGTGAGGGGGTGGAAGCAGTCATCTGCAATGTGTGTGCTTGTTAATGGCCCAAATAATGAACTCTTTATTTTTGTAACCAGCCAAGGTTTGAGACAGTTGTGTCAGAACTGATTCTCATCAAGAACGAGGCACTTCATGCCATCAGCAACCTTAAGAAGTGGATGCAACCGCAGCATGTGGAAAGAAACCTGGTGAGACTTTAAGTTTGTAAAGCATCAAAAAAACATTTTAAATCCAAACATCCCAAACATTTTAGTAATGTTATTGGGATTATTCTTGAATTTACACAAGAGAACATTCTGTCTAGCTGCTACAAAGAAATGTATTGTGACCCCAAAGCAGATTAAAATTTAAGTTGCCGTTGCCCTTTCTGTAAGAATTAAGTAGGCTAATGTTTTTCAGTTCTTTAGTCAACATGTGCTCTGATAACCACGTTCACTCACGAGAGTTCTGTTTCACTTGTAACCCAATTTTATGCTTGATTGACGTAGTCCACCACGCTGGATGAGTGTCTGGTGGTCAGTGAGCCGTTGGGGGTGGTGTTCATCATGGGGACCTGGTGTAGTCCTGTCCAAATGTGTCTGGTGCCGCTGGTAGGGGCCATTGCAGCAGGTGCAGAGACTCAAAAAACCTAATTTAATCAGTTTAATTCAAGCTGTTTTTTCCCCTCACACAGGCTTACTGATGCTATTTTATTAATTTGTGCAGGAAACTGTGCAATCATCAGCCCCTCTGAGTGCACGGCTCACACAGCAGAGCTTCTTCATCGACTCGTCCCCTTCTACTTGGACAATGTGAGTGATTAAACAGGAGGGAGGGTGGATTGTGTAGGTTTGGTCTATCAAGTTACAGCAAAACTTCTTTGAGGGTTTTTTCGCTCATATAGAGTGGTTGAGTAAATGCTTATATACTTCAATGGAATAGATTTTTATCTATCTATTTATTTTATCTATCTATTTTTTATCGATCTATTTTTTTATCTATCAGAGGACATTGTTTGATCTGTGTGCTTTTAGAGAAGGCAGTTTTAATGTGAGATTAGACTAAGAGGTTTGATGTGACAAATCTGGGAGAATGGAAACATCCACCTTCTTGTTATACAAGAAAAAGTTGACTCTCAAACTCTGATTTTGCACTTACACTGTATTGACATTAAGGACCTACAATTATCTGATCTAAAATTCTTGTTTTCCTCAAGGAATGCTTCCATGTGATTCTTGCAGGCACAAATGACTTGCCTGAAGTTGTGGAACTTAAATTTGACCACGTCTTCTTTACAGGTAAAGATAAACTTAGCTATAAAATCCATTTTGTATTGATTTAATTGAATTATTCTTAAGTCATTAAGGCTGTCTGTCAATGCCTAGGAAACAGGGAGGAGGGAAGCAAAATTGCTCAGGCTGCCGCTCACACACTCACGCCTGTCACCCTGATTTTGGGCGGCAAGAACCCGTGTTACGTGGACCAACACTGTGAGATTGCCACCACCGCACAGCGCATCGCCTGGGCACGTTTTCACAATGCTGGCCAGAGCTTTGTGGCTCCTGACTATATCCTTTGCCACACGGATATCAAAGCACGGCTGGTGCAGGCCCTGAAGTGCTGCCTGATGCAGTTCTACGGTTCTGATCCCAGAGAGTCCCGCAGTTTTGGCCGCATGGTCAATCTAGAGCTTTTCAACCGTACGAGAGACCTGCTGTGGAGATCTGGCAAGGTGGCTGTGGGTGGGCAAGTGGTAGAAGCAGAGAAATATATTGGTAAGCGTCTTCTGTGCAAGACTCTCTGACACAAAGCAGCTGTGCTACTTGCATTACATTTAATGTTGTTGTAAACTATTTTCTTTCCGAAGCCCCAACGATTTTGACAGAGGTAGAGGAACAAGATCCCATCATGCAACAAGACGTTTTCGGCCCAGTTCTTCCTGTTCTGACTGTGAACAATACGGATGAGGCAATTGCTTTCATTAATAAGCAAGAGAAACCCCTCTGTGTCTATGCATATTCCAGCAACAGCAAGGTACGTGTGACATCAAAGTGAAGGCGCTCTGTATTCACTGTATGAACTCCTGTATGAGCCGATGTGTATTTTGATCACGTGTTGGCCTTTTCCGACAACGCAGGTCATCTCAAAGCTAATGAGTGAGACGTCTAGTGGAAGCTTTTGCTCTAATGACAGCGTCCTGCAGAGTCTGATGGTGGCTCTGCCTTTCGGTGGAGTTGGTAAGTCGGCGCCATCAGAATACAAATGATGCCAAACACACTGGTGGAATAACCTACAATATAGCAACTAACACTTTATTTTGACAGGTGCCAGTGGAATGGGCTCCTACCATGGCCGCCACAGCTTTGACACCTTCTCTCACAGGAAATCATGCCTGCTGAGAAGCACGCGGTTTGAGTGTGTAACCTATCTGCGTTATCCGCCCTATGAGGACCGCAATCTGTCTCTAATGACATGGGCCAGCACCCTGTCCCAGAAGACTCAGGGTTGGTGCCAGATCCTGTGACTGTGTGGGAGGGCGATAACAGAGCTGTGATGGAAGAGCGCCGAGTCCTGAACATTCCTCACATGCAAATGTATTGTCTGTATTAAAAATACATGAGAACAAAACCGAGCCACAGCTAACGGAGGACGGAGCAATATCCATAGTAGTTGTTTAATCTCTGGGTGATGACAATTGTAAGTTTCTCTGCTGCAGCACAATAACTCAACTGGACGTATGTGTTTGAGGAAACATGACCTGTGAACAATTAAATAATAACCGGAAGGTACATGTATTGACTGAATGGTATAAGATTTAGATTTCACAGCTAAGCATATTACTGCGGGTATATTCTCACATTTTACTAAAAAGAAATCAAAATGAGAACAGTTCTGGATCTCATTCATATTTATTCATATTCACAATAAAAATGAAATATCTGAAACACCAGCCACCCAAAAACAAATCAGGGCTTTTTCTTATTCCACATGTGAGAATCTGGTCATTCAGGTCTCTTGTAGATTGTCTCCTCGTTGTCTTCTTTCATGGCTGCGTATCTGGCCACGGTGAACAGGTAGTCGCTCAATCTGAGTGAAAATGTTGGGAAATGTATGAGATGTGTACTAATAGAGGAACCGTGTTCTCAATGATTTCAAAGCAACAGACTGACCTGTTCAAAAACTTCGCAACATCTGGATCTGCCTCCCCTGACCGCACAATTGGAGCAACACTATAACCAGAACAAAAATCTGTTAAAGAAGACAAAGGAAGTCATTTTACGTCATTCAAGGCCGGGAACATGCTGCGACTGACCTTCGTTCTGCTCTCCGACACACTGTCCGAGCTAAATGCAAAGCTGCGCTGCTCTTCCCTCCAGACTGTGACACACCAAACACAAGTGTTAGTGCAACAGGAAGAACCACAGAAGAACCCAGTGTCGTACAGATGCACAAATGGGCTTACTGGTAAAATGAAGTTGGTCAGTGGAGGGAGTTCCTTTGTAAATGCATCAATCCAGGTTTCCAGGTCTGCAATTGGCTGAGCAGTAAACTTTGTTCTCGCTTAGAAACAGAACAGAAAAAATAAACCCAAGAGATCTTCAAGCACACAAGACACACTATTTTACAGCATTAGACTAGCCAGCGAACACATACTCATGTGACTTTCTCTCGCAGACGATCGAGGGGTGGCAATATTGGAGCCCACATCTTGTAAGATGCACTGTACCTGCAATTAAAAATGCAAGAAATCGTATATCTGGTGTAAAATATCTGCAATGAAGGAAGGAAGGAAATAAACACAGCAAGAAAATCCAACCTTGACCAGCTGATATGTGAATGTGTGACCTTTGTCGAGGCAGAATTCTCTGGCCAAGCTGTAAATGTACAATTCAACATGGTTACTTCAGGCTGAGGCAGATTATAGAACAAGTTTTAAAGGGAACTGACATTTGAACAGCGGACATTTCACCCTATAGCCGATGACAGCTCGTCTGTATTTCCTAAGGCTTCAAATATATGATCCTCCTTTGGCCTCCTTTCTCCTGTAAAGGTGCTTGAGAAACCTTTCAGGGGATATAGCAAGAATTGAGTCAACTTTTTTAAGAACTATTTACTTTAACACTATTGTGACATGTAAAGTTAAAAAAAAAAAACAACCTTTGTCTCCAGTTTTGGTGTATATTTTGGGTATCCTGTTGTCTCCTTCAGTGGCATAACTGTTGGGTAAAAAGGAAGTTATTTTAAATATATATTTGATACATAGAAACAGTTAAACAGTAGGGTAAACACAGGTGTTACCAATGATAATAATCAAGGTTCTGTCCCAGTGAGCCTACATGCACTCTGTTTGACCTGAATGGTAACACCTGTATTATTATTTCATGTCAACATGTAAGGTCCATTAAAGCAGGTACACAGTATTATTGTTTTATTTTCAAACAATGCTCCTGCTCAACATAAATAAAGTAGCTATTGCTCAAACTCCCTTTATATCACACAGGATCCTTGTGTAAGAGCAACCCAGCTCGCTATATAACAGTTACATGAATGACAACAACAACAACAACAACAACAGATTTAAAAACTACCTTCTGGCTGAACACAATGTTTTCCTTGTCCGACACTCGCTCATGAGCCTGCCTGTCCTTACCACACAGCGGAGGTGGGCAGGTTTGATAATAAACGATGCCATGTTGAAGCTACAGGCTAGCAGCTAAAGGTGAACGATGGTACTACTTTTTGTCCCTCCGTGGTGGCCGTTGTTTATGGGCGTTTCGCTTTTAATCGCCCGGTTGGTCAACTCACCGAGCGCGGGCCGCTGATTGGACGAAAGAATATGTGTTCAACCAGCGACGGCGCTGATTGGATACTGGAAGCCGAACCTTTGTTAGTCCCGCCCCCTTCGTGTCAGCCGTGTTTTTAACTGCGAGTTGAAGAGAGTCTCTTCTCAGAGCGCCTTCCTATACTTTGACCCCCCCCCTAAAGAATATTTATTGAACTCCTTATATTCGTGGAGACTTCATTAAAAGCGCAGATCTGTGGGGGCAGAGTTATCGATCGCTTGTTGCTGCTTCAGAGGATTAACAGGAGCTAAAGGTGGCTAAGCTAGCTAATAATAACACTGTCAGTGTCACTGTTTTTGTACTTTGGAAACTGTTACAGAGATGCAGGTATTAGTGTCTGCTCCAGGGAAGGCGATCCTCCACGGAGAGCATGCAGTCGTGCACGGAAAGGTAATTCAGATCTTTAATGCATTGAGTTTTAAACCTTTCAGAGACTTCTTTCCTTTCATTCAGGCAGATCTCTGCAAGTGGATTTTCCTACTGTACTGTAAAGAGCCAGTAATTCACCTGGAAAGTAGCTAAAACATATCCAATAGACAACAAACTATGTGTATGCTGTGGAAAATTGCACCAAATGGGCTAAAACTTGAAGACGTCTGTGTTCTCTGCTCCATTACAGGTGGCTCTTGCTGTGAGTTTGAACCTGAGAACATATTTACAGTTAAAAGCCACGACTTCTGGCAAAGTTTGCATCAACCTCCCAAACATTGACACATTCTGCTGCTGGGACCTGTCTGAACTGAGGCAGCTCCTTCCTCACTTCTGTGGTAAGGGATGATGGAGCACACAGAACCAATTTATTAGTATTCTAATTTCATACACTATCTTATCTTTTTCATACACCTACGGATCAAATTGTGTGTGGTGTTGTGATTTTGTTAACAGGTAAGAGGGAGGAGGTGAAACGACTCGATGCTGAACTTGTGAAGAAACTGCGTGAATTTGTCGGTGTAGCCGATGCAAACTTGGATACGTGCAACATGGCCATCTTATCCTTCCTCTACATCTACATCTCATTGTTTGGATCAGGGTGAGATACTGCTTCTTCTCAGCATATGTTATTACAGACAGTTGGCTCAGATGGCACACACACACACACACACACACACATACACACACACACAATAAAAAGAAAATCACATTACAGATAATTTCAATACGATGGAAAACCAGAGACCAGGCCCAGCTTCAGAGCTGTAGTCCCACTTGTTTCAGACTGGCAGTTTCAGTCCAATCTAGGGAACCTTTGGCAAGAAAAGTAAGAGCAGTGACAGTTACGAAATGTTGCTGTAGACCTGTCCATGTGCTCTATCTACAGGCAATGGAAAGCAATAGTGTGTGCACATTTGGCACAGCAGAATTGGTACACCTCTTTTTCTATAGCTACTGATTGTGCGCGTATGTGTGAGAGAGAGTTTGGGGTGTAAAATGTTGAAGCATTTTTTTCCTGAATTATTAAAAATGATTAAGTGCTCAGAGTTCTTTGCTCTCCAGGGCTGTCCTCCTGTGTGGTTTGGGAGAAGAGGGGTAGTGGGGCACCTCAGCAGATCGGAGAAATAAAAAAAAAAAGCATTTACAAAAAATCTTGAGAAGCTAACATTTTGTGTTTTACAGACAGAAGCTCAATAGTGTTTCTGTTGGTGTTTAATGTCCTCTGGAGGATAACATGACATAATGTTTTATTTCTGTTAAGTCAAGTCAGTTTTATTTATATAGCTCAATATCACTAATCATACATTTGCCACAAGGGGCTTTATAATCCATACAGCATAAAACAACCGCTATCCTTCCCACAAAAAACCTTTCAATGGGGAAAAAAATGTTAGAAATCTGAGAAAAGGAGCTACAGAGGAGGGAACTCTGTCCCAGGATGCACTGGCATGTAATAGATGTGTGTACAGACTATATCAACACAGTAAAGTTACAGTATAGACTGTCAGGTTGTAAACATATATTAAAAACTGAATCTGGGAGGACGTTGAGCAACTGCAGGTGTCGCCAAACACCTTATTAATTATTTTATTTTAGCCTTCAGGTGGTACAAGTGTTCCACAAAGACACACACAGTATATATCTACACTTCTGCATATACTGTATTGTATTATGGCTGGGCTAATTTTCCTAGTACTGCATGTAGTAAGCACATTTGCATTGTGATAACTGCACAAGCTAAACACTTTGTTTTTGAAATTAAAATAATATAAAATCTCAAATAAATGCTGTAAATGTAAACAAAGCTAGTATAATAAAACAAAGGTCACACTTATTTGTCACCATGTGAAGGTTTATTACACTGATTTTTCTCCCTCACTGCTCTCATGCAGTCACAGTTTACTTTTTGAGTAAATAATCAATAAGTAATTCCAGCTCTTTTGGAAATGCTTTATTTGCCAAAATGTGCTCAATGGATGCTCTGTAGATGTGTTCAGGTAGTTGAGGGCCATTTTCAGTGAATCTAAAAAAAGAAAACCTCCACCTTGAAATGAAGATAGTAAAAAGAGGCAGACAGAAAGGCCGGATGTTAGTTGTAGCGACTGCGGCAGCTGTGAACAGGGAAGATGCTCAGGAACATTAGAGCTGCAGGTTGTCGGGAGGTTTAATCGGTGCTGACACGGTGCTGCCGTGTCTGAGAGAGGTGATGGGTTCTGACAGGATGGCCGCTAATGAGAGTCTGGCACCGGGCCACACTGCAGCCTTTAACAAGTCTGGATGTGTTTTTCCCTCGAGAGAAGTGCCGGACAATTAGTTTAGAGTATTCCCCTGTCTGCCCAAAAGCAGCTTCCCTGACAGACATTGACAGCAATGTCAAGCAAGTTTCTGTTGCCTATAGAAGTATATGGATTACTATTTATTACACACTCCTTATATCCTCCTTCTTGTACGTATTCAGTGTAACTGTAGCAGTTAATGTGATTTTTAAAGAAGGGGATATGATATATTATTTACTTAATACTTGATGTTTTTTTAATAGAAAATGTACATTAAGTGATGGGAAATAACTGTTTTTAATTGTTTATCTCTCAATAACAAATAATAACAAGTAGTAAGTGGTATATGCAGAAGCTCAGCTCTTATTTTTATTTCCTCAGTGAGCTGCCCAGCTTGACGGTGTCTGTGTGGTCGGAGCTGCCGACTGGAGCCGGTCTGGGGTCAAGTGCTGCCTACTCTGTGTGTTTAGCTGCAGCTCTGCTCTGTGCGAGTGGAGCCATTCCAGCTCCTCTCAAAGAGTGGGATCACACTGCCAGGTAACATTACATTAAGGGAAGGTCTCTTTTATGAGCTGTGTATGCAGTTTGTGCATAGACAGAATTATTTGGCCTGATTTACTTGTCTTACCTACGGAGAATGAAAGTCCTTGAATCACAACATTATGCTTCTTTAATAGAAAAACAGATTTGAGGAGCTCATGATGTTACAGCTTTGCTTTATAATTTAACTAGATTTAAATAAGGTGTTGTAGCCAATGGCTGCATAATTATGTCACAAAAAATCAACACAAAACCACCTACAGAGAAATGAGTTTTTATTAAAATACTGTACTTTTCCATGTAAATCCTTTAATTGTTTGTAATTTGGTAATTGCATATATTAGTCACTTGAAATGGTAATAAGTAATTGTTTTTTTGGCGCTCATTATAAATACATGAATACTCTTTTAGTACAATATCTGTATGAACAGTTGAAACAGACGTAAGCAGGAAGTAATGACAGCTTTTGTTCCTACCACAATGTAACATTTCAGATACATTCACGTCATTGTTTCTATCCAGGTTTCTTGGTAATGACATTGGATTAAATTGAAATCCCAACTACAAATCTCAATCAAATATCTAATGACATAAAGATCTTTTAGGAAAAAAATTGGTCTTTTCTTGGAAAATCAGAGACACGGATTAATGTTCAGATGTACCGTCAGCAGGATGTTGTTGTACTGTATTGTGCTACAAATCCTGTGATGATTGCTTCATCACAAACAGCATCTGTATAATCATTTTTTGGGCACACAGCTGTACGTCCCTCCCATATACCAGTGTTTGCTTAGGAGATGAAGACGTTGGGTCTGAGCAGGGCTACAAAGTTCTCCTTTAATGTCTTTATAATTGCAGGTGGTGTCAGGAGGACCTGGAGCTGATCAACAGCCGAGCTTTCCAAGGGGAGATGATCATCCATGGTAATCCTTCAGGGGTAGACAACGCTGTAGGAACATGGGGTGAGGCCTGAAATAATCTGGCATACGGTACAATATTCTTGTTGTTATACCTCCCTTTGTCTTCCTGGTCACAGAACTCTTTAATGGTATTTTTACTATTTTACCACCACTGTTCATTACCATTTGATGATTATCTATTTAATGATTCACATTTCCCTGTATGTAGGTGGCATGCTGAGATTCTTGGCCGGGAAGATAATACCACTGAGCAGGTATTGACCCTGATTAACAATTTTCAATTTCATTTAAGTACACAGTGAATTAATAAAATCGTAGTGTATTTTATTTTCTCACAGAAAACAAATATGGTCATCAGCAGGGCACCACGGTAATGTGTCTCTATGAACCCTCTGATCTGTCTGCTTTACTTCCAGGGTGCCGTTATTAAGAATCCTCCTCACTAACACCAAAGTACCACGTAGCACCAAGGTGCTTGTTGCCAGGGTGAAGGACAAGATTAACAAGGTACTAAATGGTTTCTTCCTCCCCCGTGTGTTACTTGCAGACACTGTAATTAATATAATAGGCGGTGCTTTTCCATGGCAGATACTCCAGAGCCTGGTGTTGAGTGCCTTCATAAAATATTGAAATTAAACTCTTAGCCAGCACCCCTGTGTGCTGTTGCCTTGGTGACACCAGCAGGTGTGCAGATTTTGGTCTCAGACATAGTTAGGCCTGGATGGTGTAGTAGCACTGTTGTGATCGGGCTGGCGCACAACCAGAGTCAAACCTGCCACTTTACAGTCTATTTGTATGCAGCTAACCCATCATAAAAAGAGTTTTTAAACACTTGTGCTGGAAGACACTTGTTGTTTTACTCACAGTCTGCAGTAATGACTTTGAGTAGAAACACTGTGCATTGTTTTCCTCTCCTGTAGTTCCCCTCTATCATGGCCCCAGTGCTGGACTCAGTTGATGCTATTTCTTGCACCTGTGAGAAAGTCCTCTCAGAGATGACCAGTGAGCCCATCACAGGAGAGCACTACAATATTCTAGAGGTACAAAATATGACTAGATAGTGTAAAGCATTTTGCATTACAAATGTGTCATTAAGACTTTACTGCGGTACACTGCAATGCATTTCTCTCATTTTCAGCCCATATCAACAGCTGTTGTCTTATCATTTAAAGGAGCTCATTGACATTAACCAGCACCATCTGAATGTGATTGGTGTGGGGCACCCTGCCCTGGACACACTGTGCCGGGTCACATTGGCCAAAGGGCTCCACAGCAAGCTAACCGGCGCAGGGGGAGGAGGCTGTGGCATCACCCTTCTGAGACCAGGTACTGTTGGAGAATTGCTCTACTGTGAATGTCATAACTGTGTGCATTTTAAATATTTCTATAAATGAGGAAAAGGTTTTTGTTATTTTACTTTATCTGCTCAAAGGTAGAAAACAAGGTGGCACAACATGGAAGCAAATAATGTCTGTAGAGATTTACATTTATTAAGATATCATTTCTGATGGACCTTCTTCAGATTATATTTCCCCCTTATGTACAAGACAATCAAGGCGGTGACCTGATTTAAAACAGGTTTATAGCAGACCACACCCAAAGCAGGTATAAATACTCAAATAGCCACAAGAAACAAGTGAAGGGAGTGACAGAGACCCAGGTTTAACTCTAGCAAAATACAATCTAGTAAAGACGACATAAATACAAGAATACAAGAACTGCTGTATCATCCATCAAAATTCAAACATTGCAAGAAAGATTTGAAATGAACCAAAGGCATGTTTTGGCAAATCTAACAACAAAGATATCATAATCAAGCCTGCTGACATACGAGGCGCTACAGACTGACGTCTACAATGAACAAACACCTCAGCAACATCTCCGTCTACCGTCTCCTCAAAGGTGATCCTGCATTGACAGTCAGAGATTGATAACATGTTGCAACGTGCATTGGACTGTAACTGGATAACAAAAACAACATTAGACTTTATGCAGGTTCCAAATCCGGTAACTCATGTAATAGATGTGCTCCCTAAGGTACATAAAAATCCTAATAACCCTCCTTTCAGACCCACTGTGTCTGGTAATGGCAGTATAACAGAGCCACTATCCACATTTGTGGTCAACAAGCATCCATCTTTTGTGAAAGAGACCAAAGATGTTTTGAACCAGCTGAGACAAATTCTTTTAGCTAGTTTGGATATTCCACATGCACAAGGACTTCAAGTAATATCCAGAGTAAACACAGACTCTGTGACAGACACAGAAACTTCTTTTGAGGTCCTCTTGAAACGAATCCCTTGATGTCGAGATCAAATGATATGTGTGAACAGTTTAGAAATAGAGGTGTTTGGAGCTACCTTTTAACTTCAACTGAAAGAGAAGATTTGCTCCTTAAAAAGACAAACAAAAATCAACGATGGGCATGTTTTGTCACTGGCTTAAATCGCTGCTCTGCAGAAATGAGAGACATCATCAAGTCACACTGTCACTTCCTGCACTCCCGTCTCTGAAAGGGAACTTTAGCTGTGGACATTGTGCACAATGTGATAATAACTGTAATTGTAACAGTTTTTAAATTGCAACTCTAAAAATGTTGTCTGCCCTTGTGGAAAGGCTTATATAGAAACAAACTGAAAGAGCTTTTAAAGTCTGTATTTCTGAGCACAAAACAGTCACCAGAACAGGAAATAGTCATTACTAGGCCAAACATGGCTCAACATCTCTTTACAGGAGGCGATATTCAAAAATATCTTTCCCAAAGAGAGACGTTTTGGATCAGCAGGCTCAACACTATAGGCCCCGCAGGCCTTAATCATAGTTTTACTTCAAATCTTTCTTGTAATGTTTGAGTTTCGATGTGTGATGCAGCAGTTGTATTCTTGTATTCCTTCTCTCTGTACTAGATTGTATTTTGTTAGAGTTACTAAACCTACGTCTCTCTGTTTCTGTCCCTGTCTGTCTCTGCCTTGAATGAATTCATTTTGATGAGGGAAGTTTGATGAGGCAAACTGTCAAGACTCCTGCTGACAACCAAATGTTGTGTTTTCCTCAAACGCTCCCTCGCTCTTCCTCTCTGTAACGCCGATTTGAGTGTCAGGAAATGATGAGAAGGCGAAGGCTTTGGTGTGCGGGTACTACTGTGCAATTGGTTGTAAGGAAACTTTGAATCATCCTCTATTTAACAAACAAACAAGCAAAGAACCTGCAAGTTCAGTCTTTGTCTATGCCGGCAGCCTGTAGCATACTAAATTGTAACAAATTAAAAATCCTCTAAATCGATTTCCAAATGCTCTTTATTTGTTTCCATCTGTGCAGCAGTATCATTCTTCTCTAATGTTCTCAGGTGTTTGGTAGGAACACACCGATTGCCGAGTGGCTTATTGACTTGAGTGATGAGGTTTTGGCTCCAGTGTTGTCATGTTGCAGAATGTATAACTACAGCCCACTCTGACTTTATTATGACTTGTTTATTTTTTAGAAACTGACTCCTCTGTAGTCCAGACCACAGTGCAGGACTTGAGAGACTGTGGCTTTGACTGCTGGGAAACAAGTATTGGTGGGCCAGGAGTCCAGCAGCACTCTCCTCTCTCTGTTAAGGAGGAAGTTCTGGAGATTTTAAACCGTTACTGACACTGTGGCTGTGGCTGAACAAGAGGACAGACGAACTGTTTGTCTTTTTGTTCTTACCTCAAGACCTGAGGTAGGCTCAACTTATCAAGTGAGCCGAGTGGACCAAGGAAAGTTTCGCACCGAGCAGAGCTTCCTGAAGTGTTAATTATACATTTGCCTGACTGAAAAACTGTGTCTCTAACAGATTACTGGGAAGATGAAGAGGATTTAATGTTTTTTGGTGAAGAATCCCATGGAGTGTTTACTTATATATTATATATACTGAGCGCTTTGTCCACTAGATGGCATCAGAGTTGCACAAATGCTTTTTATGAAACAGGATTAATGGTAAGAGGTTCTCGTAAATTGATTAATATCTAAGTGAAGCAATTAATTTATAGGTTCATCCAAATGTTTAAAGCAGTAGAGCCTTAATGGATTAAATAATTGTCATTAATTGATCAGCCCTGGCAGTGTAACATGCAGTATTGTTGGATAACCGCTAGAATGAAAGTGGGCATTTGTGGTATTCATTTTTACAGAAAATGTTAATGGAGAAAAAGTTTGATGAATTAAATTGTTTTTTGGTTCATTGGAAGCTCAGTGACTATTATTCAGATTTTGTCCCTTCAGTTCTACAAAGAGGTTTATGAAAGTGACTGTGCTTTCTCATGAACAAGAATGTCTGAACAAACTTAGTCCAGGTAACAATATAGACTCTGAGGACACTTTGCACATAAATTATTATTATCCAGACAGACTGTATGCTGCTTTGATGCTCTAACGCTCTTTTATTGTGCTCTACTTTTGACATAAAAGTCTTTAAATGCAAAATGAAGCTGAAACCAAAGAATTCTTTGTGATTTATTCCTTTGAAATCTCTCAGATAATAATATATAATATCTGTCACGCTTTTATAAATATGTTCATATGTTCTTTAAAAATAATGTGTGCCATACGCTGTCCATTTCCTCAGTTAAAGACTAACTGGCTGTGTTGTTTTGCCAATAGAGGATGGGGAGAGGGGGACAGCAGGAGTGTGTGGCCTCTCTGGAGCCTCTGGATTAGCGCCACTATAATGTGAATCAACAACCAGCGTCCTTCTGTGAGTCACACATTTGTGCTGACACATATGCACACACACACCAGCTTTCCCAAATTCTTCTCCACCTAATTGCTCATCCTCCTAAGCATTACAAAATATTCTGCACATGCCGCAGATACAGAAGACGGATCTGTTTCGAATATCCCTGATTTGGGGAAAAGGTCATTGCGGGATTCAGTTGAGTCTGAATATCCATTTCATTTTCTATTTTTTAAATGTCATGAAGATTGAGTAGTATGAATCTGGCAGTGTACGTGAATAAACAACATTTGTCACCCTCCCTCCTTTTCCGCCTGGCCCCCTCTGTCCTCTTGAATTGTGTCATCTTTATGTCAGGGCAGCCCCCCGTCAGTGCGCCGCACAGTTGCCCCTAACCCCTGCTGGAATTTAATTACCACTGCGCTTTTCAATTGAAATGGCATTGACGAGGGGGGACAAGAGGGAGACAACAGAGCCTGTTTCATTTGAAGCCCCTCTCTTTCTTTTCTGTCTCATTCTCTCTCACTTCTTTTACCCCTGCAAGGCACAGATGGTATTTTTTTTTATCAATGTCAGCGCCTGCTTCTTTCTGCTCTGATGAATAGAATCTAAAGAGGCCCTGAGATTATTTCAGATAACAGAGGGAGTGAAGAAAGGGGGTCAAGGATAGAGGGAGAATGTCAGAATCAGAGAGATACGGTGAAAACAGCGTGCTGTCCCAGCGGTGAGGAAGGAGACGTACAAATCATTTAACATTTAACGTTTAGGGAGTTTTGTCTGGATGGATCAATGTGGGATGAATCAAGGATGTATAATTCATTTTGTCCAAGCAGGAGGAATGAAATGTTAAATGTGAATTTGCTGAGTGGTCATGCTCACTGTGGCACGTTCCCTCTGGTCTCTCAGTCGACTGGTGAAATGCTTGTCAGGAGCCATTAAGTTTGAATACAGAATTAGACCTGAGTGACAAGATATCATGTTGCTGTTGGCCGCTGGTTTTACTAACAGGGATTCTGTATATGACTTCCTGCAGTGAGCATTTGCACATATTATAAAGGCCTCTGATTCACGCTGTGTTGCATGTTCTTATTGTGGGAAATTACATGTGTGTATATTATAATTTATGTCATGATATTTGTGTCGAAAGGGGGTGTGCAATTGGCCACAGCGGGGAAGATTTGTGTGGCCATCCTCTCCCAGCATTCATATCGGCACACTGACACAGGCAACGTCAACATCATGAGCTCCTCTCAGTCATGATGGGCTGTATGGTCCTCCTGGGGGTGTTTGCCCTTTTGGTAAGTGGGGGGTGGTGGACGGTGTTAGTAGCAGGGGTCCAATTAAGACAGCAGGGTGCAAGGGTGCTGTCAAAGAACTTGGAGGATTTAGTTTTAGGGATGAACATCAATTTGTTTCAGTCCTAGCTCCTGATAAATACATCTGTTTATCCAATGTAAATGATAAACTTTCCCTACAATATGCATACAGCTTTTAAAATGTACCATCTTGGACTGGTTTAACACCTTTTTCATGGAGTTCTCAACCTTTTAGGCTCCTCAAACAAAGCAGTGTCCACTTGGGAGCCCTTACCAATAGTGAAGAATTATTTTTTTCCGCCGTATTATATTGGAATAATCTTGAAAGACACAAAGATGTAAAATTATACAGTAAATCATAAAAGAAAACAAGACATGCTAGCGGCTCTTTGAGGCACAGTGGTCCTTTGAGCTAAATGCTAATGTAAGCATGCTAATGTGCTCAAAATTACGATGCAAACATGCCCATGTTCTGTAGGTTAGTTTAGGTTTTTAGCATGCTTTGCTCATTACCACTAAACGCAAAGCACAGCTGAGGGAATGTCATAAGTTTGGCAGTATTTAGACAAAAAAAACAAAAAAATATTGGATATTAAAAAATGTTGTTGCTGCTGGAGAGAAAAGTAAGAACTGTCACAGTTCATGTGCAAAATTCCAACACAATCCATCCAGTAGTTGAGTCATGACAATGTGATATTTCACACATGACCAAAAATGTAAACCTCATGGTGGCACTAGAAGAAAAGTTGGAATAATAAAGTAATTCAGACCCATCCCTGTGGGGACCATAAATATCTCTGCAGAATTTTACGGTAATCCATTTAAAGGTTTAGGATTTAGTGACATCTAGTGGTGTAATTGCAGATTGCAACTCCATCGCTTCAACCTTCCCTTACAAGTGTGAAGGAGAAACAACAGCATAACAATTCTTATTTTCAGGTGATTATACATTAATGAAAACATACCTACACATATTCTATTCAGTTTCTGCCAATAGATCCTTCTAAATTACACGCTGGACCTTTTTAATAGTTGAGGTATTTTATTCTGGACCAAGAGGTGGATCGACTGTCTGACAGAGTGAGGTTTAGCCTTTAGCTAAAAAGACCAATATTAGAGGACAGGCACAAAAAATAAATCTTATTTTGTGTGGTAGAAATGTTTTTTTTCTGCTTTCCTGTCCTGTTAATCATCTTGTGACCCCTCAGTCTTTTCTTTTTGTGGGGCTCCCAACCCCCAGATGGGGAACCTCCTCTCAGTTCTCACCCTTAGACAAAATATTTCCACCTGGAGGCTCTGTTTGGTCTAGAACTGGGCTTCAGACGTGTTTATGAAATAGGCCCACAGTGTATAGACCTGCTTGAGCTGTATTATTGTAAACATCACACATGACACAGAGCGACTCCCTGTCCACGTCCCATTTTCCATCATGGAATTGTATCATGTCGTTCTATTGATCCAGTAATTGATTCTGTGAAGTCGAGGGCACCTGCAACATACTCTGTCATTCCTCAGTGCCAGGAGCGCTCTTGTTTAATTGCAGGCTAAGGCGCTGGTTTTTCTTGTTGCCTTTGAAAAGCCTCATTGATTTTTATACCACCCTTCATCCTTGCTGTGCTCCGTTTTAAGAGCAAATCCCTTGTGTCGAAGTTGCCCAGAATGTAAAAGTATGAAATCTGTCAGCTCTTTTCACAAGGCTTCCAGGTGCAAGCCAGACACGTTAACACCACACTGAAGTTAAAAAAAAGTTTTTTTTCCTTAATGTTTAAACAGAAGAAGGAAGAAGAGAGAGCCTGTGATTTATTCTGCCAGTGTCCGTCTCATGTGAGACCAGTTGAAGGTGAAGTTGTGTTGGAAACAACCTCATCAGACTGTGGAGGTCAAAGTTCATCACTTTATCTCTGCCTGTTTGGATTGTTTTTGTTAAAATGAACTGATTGGGAAAAAATGTCCAGTATTTTGGGAGTATTTTTCTTCAAGAGGAAATGTGTTAAATCAGTTTAATTATTTCTTTTTGTTTATTATGTGTATGCATTTATGGCTCCTGTACAAGAAATACATTATACTTTTAATAATACATTGCATTTATTAATCTGAAGCCACTAATCCAAACAAGGATTGTGATTTTTTTTTTTTTCATTCTGTCAGGCTTTAAACTGTAGTTTAGAAACTGGCACAGGAATATATTCAGTGCATTAGGGTCTATATAGAACAAAAATATCCTAAATGAAATTTGATTTGCATTAATTTGAGAAGCAGCTTATCTAACATTCATACTTTGAACTTGCTTTGAATTAGAAATAGGTTCTCATCATTTCCCTGGGATTGCAGCCAATTTATTGGATTCGTTTTTTTTCCCCTCAGAGGCTCTGGGAGGAGGATGATCTCAAACTGTTATCACATGACACCATGTGATTGATGGACCATTAAAATGTCAGCCAGATGTACTTAAAACCACAGCTTTTAGGTTGATAAATCAATGCACAAATGGATACATAAAGCTGTTAGAAACAAATATTCCCATCTAGAGCTATCTGCAGATAGTAATGGATGTTTCTTTCTGCTTGTCTGTCTGTCTCTCTGTATGTTTCTTTCTTCACATTTTCCCCTCTCCCAGTGTATCTCTCGACCACTGCAGTCATGTAATTACAATGGGACAGGTAGGAGTGTTCATATTTCATCTGCTGCATTCACGATAACATCTAATAATCCGAAAGCGTTGCAAAATTGGTATCTCATTGCTCATGCATTATGAATGAGTCACTGATTGCTTTTTTGCATAGATTAGCAATCATTTCACAGAAATCTTTCATATAAAAATGTGCCAGGAGGCTTCTATCTCTTTTTCTGAAGAGTTGAGGTGACACATCCCGCCGCTTTTTAAGATAAGACCGATCAGGTGATACCACTTCTCCCCCTCTGCCCCTCTGCCCCTCTGCTCCTTCTCTTGCTCTCTGACTTATTTCTCTATGCATATCATCATTGGGGGTGGGGGGGGGATAAGTGTAATTTTCAGCCCACTTTGCAACTGATTGCTCACTTAGTGAATATATTCAGCATCTGCAGTGTTATTGTGTTTGGAGCCAAGTGGCTAAGTACCGCTGAGATTCTTTGGCATCAAAGTAAACATTTGCAGACTCCAGAAGTGCATTGAGAGAAGCAAATCTTCTTCTTCAAAGCTATGAGATTGTGTGCCCTACGTATGGATTTCAGTGACCTCTGCTCGGCCTTGGAGCCTCAGATTGGCATAACACATAAGAGGCTTGTATGGTCCAGTGGTTAGGAAAATAGACTGGTGACCAGGTCGCAATGTAAAGTCCCAGGTGAGGTTTACATACCACTTTTGTTTCCTGTCAGGCAAATGACCTGTTTCACAGTCACAGTCACAGTGATCTACAGCATCCACTGAAACGTCATGTCAACTTTCCCAGAGCACTT